CAGATGACATGATACTTTACATAGAAGACCCCAAAAACTCCATAGAAAAACATAGAATTAATTTTTTGATCATTCTGTTATGACTATATCTGCTAATCTGAACAATTACTTTGAAGATAACAATATGCAATATAATAACCACTGTTGATTTCCTATCATCTTCTTTTGAAATTCTGTATCATTTTTATTATTTTTAAAAAATTTTATTCTTTTTAAAATAAAAAAAAGAAGTAATAACTAAATTCAGTAGTTGCTGGATACAAAGTCAACACTCAAAATCAGTAACATTCCTGTACACAAACAACAAACTCATGGAGAGAGAAATTAGGGAAATCACACCCTTTACAATAGCATCCAAAAAGTGAAATACTGAGGAATCTAGCAGACAAAGTAAAAGATTTATACATTGAAAATTACAGCATTACAGCATCTCTGAAAAAAGAGATGGAAGAGGATATCAGAAAATGGAAAGATATCCTTTGCTCATCTATGAGGAGAACCAACACTGTGAAAATAGCCACACTTCCAAAACAGATTTAATGCAATTCCAAAAAACATGCCATTAGCATACCTCACAGACCTAGAGAAAACATTCCTAAAATTCATTTAGAATCAGAAGAGATCTAGAATAGTAAAGGCAATCCTGGGCAACAAAGGCAGGGCAGGAGGCATCAAAATCCCTGACTTCAAATTATACTACAAAGCTACTGTGATAAAATCAAGATGGTACTGGCAAAAAAAACAGACCTGAGTACTGACAGAATAGATTAGAAAATGCAGACACAACTACAAATACACTCAGCCACCTTACCTTTGACAAAGAGGCCAAACATGTTCACTCTAAAAAAGATAGCCTGTTTAATAAATGGTGCTGGAAAAACTAGCTCTCTCCATGCTGAAAGCTAAAACTAGACCCATGTCTATCACTATGCACTAAACTAAAGTCATAATGGATCAAAGATCTAAATATTAAAACAGAAACACTAAATCTACTGGAAGAGAAAGTAGGCAGAAATCTAGAAGACATGGGGGTATACAGAGAGTTCATGAACAAAAACCAAACTGCACGGGAAGTACTTGAAAGAATCAACAACTGAGATCTCATCTTATTAAAAAGTTTCTGCACATCAAAAGAAATCACCAACAGAAAGGAAAGAAAACCCACAGAGTAGGAAAAAATTTTAGCCAACTGTATCAGTCAGGGTTTACTAGAGAAACAGATATAACACAAGATAAATAAATGTACAAGAAATTAAAAGTTTGGCTTACAATGGTCAGCCACAGAGTTGGATGAGGAAGCATGCAGAGGGTGTCTGCACGCTGGAGATTGAACAGTCCAGCCTGGAGCTCACTGCAGTGTGTGTGCAAGTCCTATCAGGAGGTTGATGGGTCTGTGATGGAATGCTGAAGAATCTATAACAAAGGCCGGAGAGCCTATACCAGAAGGCTGAAGAGTCCCAGGCAAAAGCTGAACAGTCAGCAACAGAAACAAGGAGGTGACCAAGCTGAAAGCGAAGACTGGAGCTCCTCTGAAAAACCAGCAGCCAGTCCTTTTTAAATTTTTTTATGCAGCCTACCCACCCTGGGGGGTGGGGGTAGTCCTTTACACCCACACCCTTTGCATGCCTTTCTCTTGCACAGGATGAATATAAAGTAAGCATCCTGGCTCCCTGCTGAGTCATTTAGCCAGACCTCTAGACTCCCCAAGTTGACACAACGTATCAACCATAACACTAACTATCCCTCAAAGGACTTATATCTACCACATATAAAGAACTCAAAAACATCAGGACCCCCAAAGTCAAAGACCCAATCCAAAAATGGGCATCTGAAATGAATACACATTTCTGAGATGAAGAAATACAAATGGCAAATAACTATATGAAAAAATATTCAACATCATTGACAATCCAAGAAATGCAAATTAAAACAACAGTGAGATGGGGGCTGGGGATTTAGCTCAGCGGCACAGCGCCTGCCTGGCAAGCGTGAGGTCTGAGTTCGATTCCCAGTACCAGAAAAAAAACAAAAACAAAAAAACAAAAAACACCCCCCCCAAAAAAACAGTGAGATTCCATCTCACCCCAGAAAGAATGGCTATTATCAAGAAATCAATCAATAACAAATACTGTCAGGGGTGTGGGGAGAAAGGAACCCTTCTCCACTGTTGGTGGGAGTGTAGACAGGTACAACCATTGTGGAAATCAGTGTGGAAATTCCTCAAAACTAAGACTAGAGGTCCCATTTGACCCAGCTTTCCCCCTTTTATTTCCCCCAAAGAATAAAAAACAACATATCAGAGTGATGTATGTGCACCTATGTGCATAGCAACACAATTTGTAATAGCTAAATCTTGGAAACAATTCAAATGCCTATCAACTGAGGAATGGATAAAAAACATGTGGTATTTTTATATAATGGAGTACTACTCAGCTATAACGGATAAGCTCAAGGCTCTTATAAGTAAAGAGATGCAACTTGAGACCATACACATAAGTGAAATAAATCAAACACACATGTCTAAACATCATCTTAACTTCCTAGTATGAGAAACTAAAAGAATAAATATGAATTAATCTTCAATAGAGATATTGAGAAAGGGACAGAAATTGTTGAAAAGGAAAGAACAATTGGGATGGAGGAAAGGAGAAAACATATCATATATATATGATATGTTTATATATATATATATGATATGTTTAATTTCCTTAATCCATTGAAAACGTAGGTTTGTGCTTATATTGGCTGATTAATTTTGCATGCTTCTATCTTGCAATCTGAGCAAATACTTTGAAAATAAGAATATGCAATACATCAGCACTTGTTAATTTCTTATTATCCTGTTTTGAAACTCTATGTCACTGTTTTTATTCCTTTTTTATTTTTCTCTCTTTAAAAAAAAGACACACAAGCATGGGTAATTTTTGATTTTACAGAAATCAAAAGATAGCCCCTATGTATGTATCAAGTGTTAAATTCCAGGAGCCAATAAATATTTATTGCTTATAAAATTTTTAAAAACCAAAATTATTGTAAAGGCTTCTCAGTGTTATGCAAAGGAAGGCATTGACTTTCTGTAACCACAGAGAGGGCCTTGGAAGTTTGAGAAGCTCTTGCCATTTCCATGTACTATGTAAAAACAATATGGAACCCAGGACCTCACACGTTAAGCAAACAGTCACCACTGAGCTACACTCCCAACCTCTCAGTATGTTTTTAAAAACAGTGGTTCTTATTAACATAAACCCTCTCTTTTGCTGTTTCTCTGAGTTTTAGCTTTGACATTTTGATATATTAATTGAGAATTACTCAGACCAGTTTTCTAGGTCACTCTATTTCAGTCATTTCATTCTAGTTAACTTTTCCCATTTTTTAAAACTGATATCATAAAAGGGGATGATATTATAATTATTTTTAAGTATTAAAATAAAACAATGGATTCTTAAAAAGTATATGTGTGATTCTTTCTGAAATCATTTCAATTTTACTAGAAATCTAGTTTATTTCTTATTTTCTAATACTACTTTTTTCCATTTGATGACAATTTCAAAAAATTTTACAAAAATTGCAGGCATAGTACAAAGATCATTTTTTACTGAGTAGTTTGAGAGTGATATATGCCATGAGTACTTTAGTATGTAATTCTTCAAGTAGGACTTACACATATCATTACAACTATTAAAATAAAAAATCTTAATACATTATTATCATTCTTGTCATTTAATTTCAGGCCCTACTCAAGTTTTACCAGTTGCCTCAGTTATGTCTTGTATAGGCAAAGAATTCAGCTTAGAATCACACACCCAGTTTATTTGCCATGTCTCCCTAGTATTTCCCAGGCCTCTGATTTTCTTGATTTTTCACTATTTTCAAGATTACAGACCACTAATTTTGTTGAATAACTCCCCTGGTGGACCTGTCTGATGTTTCCTAGTGTGTAGATTCAAGTTGTGCCTCCTTGGCAGGGAAAACACAGATCTGAAGCTGAGTTCTTCCTACTGCAGTCTATCTAGTAACATTAAATTGACGGCTTGATGAAGGCAGCATGATAGAATTTTAAGATGGTCCTGTAATCTTGGCTCATGGTGTTACTGCTCCAAATGCACACTGCAGTTTGTTCACACAGAACACTGTCACTCATCTTTGAGTCCTCCCTCAGGTCTTTATGAGTGAGGAAAGGAGACAGGGGCCTGAGGAGTCCACACAGACTGGCAGATGCTTTTTCTTAACCCCTCTTACTCTGCCATCTGAGGCAGTAGCAGGCTGTCATGTCTCTGTGGGAGGTGTATGCTTCGTGCTGGCTACTAGGAGCCTGGGCGAGGGGCCAGGGAGGATGAACAGCTGAAGAGACCAAGCCAGGAGTCAATGTCAGGGTTCAGTCATTGGTTCCGTAGGGGAGGGGAAGCTCTTAAAATTCTTGGTGGAGGCAATGGTTTTGAAAAGGAAAAGAACTGTTTAGAATTGGAGTATTTAAGTTTGTAAAGTGAGGGGCCAGATCCTCATTGTTTTGCTCTGTGCATTTCCATTTAATTGTGATATTTCATAAAAAGAAATATTACAGAAGAAAGTGAAAGTTTTAGATTAATGGCAATGGGAAGCATTTTTATTGTTCGGCCGCTCCCCCATCTTCCAGCCCACACTACACGGATGCCTCTTTCTGTCAATGAATGGTGGTGCCTCTGTGGGTTTCACGGGCTTGAGCGCTGCCAGCAGGGACTCTTTGGCATGATGGCTTGGTATGGGCAATGTGGGAGCACAAGAAAGGAAGGAGCGGGGCCAGGAGAAGAAAGAGGATGATTCACCTTGAGCTCTCCCTGAGCCTCCTATTTTTGAAAAGGTGGCGAGCCACTTACTACCTGGTGGCCTTGAGCAAGTTCCCTGGCCTCCCCTGCTCCCGTTTCCTCCTCTGTAAAATGTGACTGATGAGGGTTGGATTCAATGAGTTCAACCACAGGAAAAGCTCTTCAAAGTATGTTGGTGCATAATAAACTCAGCACTTGTTGGTTACTATTAGTATTTTTATTAGTTTTATCATTGTATCCTCAATGTTAGAAGAGTGCTTAGCATTTAACAAACATCTGCACAGATCGAGTAAGTGAAAACATTGTCACGAGTCACGCTTTGCCGTGATGTCTGCTCCTGATGGGTCACAGGCTCTCTCAGAACAGCACTGCCTACAGTCTGCCTGCAGTGAGCTCAGGTACAACACGGGTTCCGCAAAGCTTGGCTGAAACAGGTCTCACGGGGAGTGAGTTCCACACAGTGAGGAGACAGTATCCTTCCGGTCATCTAACCACGTCATTCAGCTTCAGTATTCAGCATCGAAAGGGTACTCCTCCAAACGCGCCATGCTGCAAAAGCAGGGCGAGACACAAAATGTTGGGCAAATGCAACAACTGTGCTCCGCTAGGCATTCTTCTCTGGTGCACTCTGCCATCTTTATGCTCTTTAAGTACATAAGTCAAATTATGTCCCTGCTCTGCTCAGAATCCCCTGATGGCTTCTGAGCTCATTTAGAGCTAAAATTAAAATCCCTCCAGTAGTCTGTACCATTCTGCCTTCTCTGAGCCCTTGATACCTCACTCTGACCTGATTTCTTCCAAATATTGTCCTCATTCATTCTGCTCCACCCTCACTGGCCACCTCACTCAAATGCTCTAAACACTTCACCTCAGGGCCTTTGCACTGGCTGCTGTCACTGCAAAGAATGTTCTTCCCCAAAAGGCCACATTCCTCATTCCCTTTGGGTCTCTGCTCAACTGACACTTTTACATCAAAACCTCCTCCAGCCCAACCCATCCCATACAGAGTATGAGTCTCACTGTGCCCCACTACTTCCTATCTTTTTCCCATTTTATTTTTCTGCCTAGCATTTGTTCCTGTTTTACAATATTTTGAGATGCTTGCATTAAGGGTATGGAAGCAGGGACTTTGTACAATGTGATATCCTAAGCTCCTCCAGAGTGCCCAGCAGGTAGAAAATTAATAATGAATTACTGAGGGAATGAATGAATGAATACTTCTGCCTTCCTCATACTGTTCCAGGTCTACATCCAGAAGTTCAACAGACAGCATTTAAGAAAGTGTCTTTCCTTATAAAGATTCCCCAAGGACTCCAATGCTAATTTTCAAAAAAGCCAGAAAATAGAAAAAAGCTAGATGCCTTCTAATCCTTCATTTAGAGAAAAAAGCTAGATGCCTTCTAATCCTTCTAGCTAATTCTGCACCACTCTGGAAAGACCCCTGTGATCCTTCTGCTTCATCCTGAACCACATACCCAGGTATAATACAGGACCTCCAGTTTCTGTTGAAGCTGAGGATGGTTGCCATCTCCTCATCACTCAATTTGAAGTCAAAGACCTGGAAAGGTGAGTTCAAAAACATCCTGAGCAATGCAATTCCTAGTTGGAATTAAGCAACTTGGGCAGGGAGTGACCTCCCATCCACAGCACACATTGGACAGATTTTCTCCCATCGTTTCCAGACTACAAATTGTTCTCTCAAGAACATTCTGCACAAGACAGTGTCACTTCCGGGCATTGTTGATGGCTCACACACCCTTTGCCCTTTGTCAATTCCTAGGCTAATGGAGCTGAGATGAATGACTTGCAGGTCAGTAATAGAAGCAATGTACTCATAAGGCTTGGTGTTCCAGCAGCAGGGAGACCAGCCACGTAGGTATTAAACTTCAGTGTGCACAGTGCCTGTGTTCCCTGAGAGCTGCATGGATTCCTCCAGAAGAGTTGTTCTTCCAGTATGTCCCCTTTGCCCTCTGCTGCTGGGAGGAGGATGTGTAGAATAGCACAGTGTGCTCTTCTGTGTGGCCTATGACCTAACTGCTCAAGGGCAACTGAGAGTCTTCTCAGTTTTATAAGACACTGCTGAGCTGATCTGACAGGGATCCTCTGGTCACTGCTGCCAGCACATCTTTGGCCCAGGATCAGCTCTTCTGAGGATAGTTCCCTGAACTAAGAGCTGAACGGAAGAGGGCAGGACCGACTCCTGGACAATACAGGAATGGCCTGGGCAGCCCTGTGCCCTACTCCTCTCAGAACACCAGACGACCAGCCAGGATCTCACCTGAAAGTTCTCAGTGATGCGAGCTGGTGTCACAGACTTGGGGATCACTGCCACATTCCTCTGGATGTGGAACCGGATCAGCACCTGTACGGGAAGGGGACACTGTGTTTTCACTCATCTACAAGGGCCCCTCCTAATGAGAGGGAAAAACTATCCCTGTAGCTCACGATGGTGTTAAGTACAACAGCTGAGAGTGACAGAGCACTTCACTGTTAGAGACACTTGTAGGTTCCTCTTATTTCCTCTAAACTGAGTTGCAACTCTATGAGCTTTTCTTTTTCAGTAATGAGGAGGGTAGCTTGGGCTTATAAGGCAGGGACATGGTGCAGCTGGCACCAGAACCCAGATCTCTGCCTTGTGGCTTCCTGGAAAGCTGGGCAGGAAGCTGATGGACAGATACACAGATATACAGATCCTGCTTCACTGATACACATTCTGTTTCTTGGAAATCCCAACAGACTTCAAGGAAGCACGTTTGTTGACTTCACTTTATAGTTTTTCCCCTCCAAGTGTTAAGAAAAATGAAGATAATAAGGACTAAAACCCAAGACTGGAAGAATGTATTGCAGGATTTAAAAAAACACACACCACGAACACTGTACCTGGGCTGTGGTTTTTTTGTGCTTTGCAGCAATCTCCTTAATCTTGGCATCCTCCAGTAATGAAGGGTCATCTGGCTTGGCCCTGGAGATAAGAGAGAAGGCTGGTGTGTGAGTCATCACCACAGTCACTAATGCAGACAGATTCACTCCAGTGACGGCAGCACGGCTAAAGGACACAGTGTTCTTTGCCTGTGACACACACAGGAGAACCTGAGAGCTATGTGGTCTTCCTATGTGGAGGTCCATGGGCACTGGAGCCTCAGTATTTTTAAAAGCCTGATCCAGCAGGAGGGCCACAACTGGAATATTCTCAGAGGGTTAGGTATGTTCTCTTTCTTTTTCTTAAATTACCATTTTCCCCACTGTAATCCTATCTGGGTGTGCCAAGTACACTGCCTTAGACAATGCTTTTCTTTCTGGTGCCTTATTGATTCAATATTAAGCAGCTGCAATACAATATTTTAAGTATATCCAGAGAAAGATGCCCCACTAAGAAGCCTACCAAGGTCTATCTGGAGAGCCCAGGGGGCTGTAGGCGGTGACAGTGATGCCCTTGGAGTGGCAGTACTGGATCAGCTTCTCCTGGGTGAGGTATGGGTGACACTCCACCTGCAAGAGTGAACAATCTGCATCAGTAGCGGAGCTGCCCTGCTTTTTGGGTGGTTCCTGGGGAGTTCTACATGCAAAAAGTCAACCAAGCACAGATCAAACACTTCCGATTGATCGACCTGCTAAGTTAGAGCTGGAGAGCTCTCTCCCACTTCCCCAAAGCATCCTCATCACTGAGGCCTGAGATGAGACTCAGGACACAGCACTGAACTTGCCTCCAATCACTTCAGAAGTAACAGGGCAGGCCCCCTTTACCATGCAGCATTTACCTGGTTAGTCACTGGTTTATATTTCAGACCAGGCTTGTTCAAGAGCCTTTCAATCTGGAAGTGGTTGAAGTTGGAGACACCAAGGGCTTTTACCAATCCCTCATCGACCAGCTCTTCCATGACCTGTCAGAGAAACAAAACCTGGAAAGTCATGGGAGGGGGCAACAGGGACACTGGCTTGGCCTAGAGCTGAGGGAGAAGTGGATCAAAGATCCCCCACAGGAGGGTTAGCTGAAACATCAGAAGGAAATTTCAGTTCATTGAGTAGTTACCCATGGTCACTGGTGTTTCATTTGGAGCAGCAGTAGGTCATGCAGCTAGATTGTGCCTCCATAAGGGAGCGTGTAGAGCTGAATTTGGATCTGCTTTCCCCACGTCTAGTTAAAACTGTGAGAGCTGCTTATTCCCAAGGGAGGGTATCTTTTTATAATTTTTTAGCCTGTAGTTGGAATGTTCTAAGTATGCCCAAAGAGACCATGTCTGGTAGCAGCAGTCCCAAATGCGTCATGTGTTTATTATTTACTAAACATCTAGTTGCTGTCCAGGAGTGGTCAAAATATAAACATATAAAATGTGCTTCTAGCTGCTGAGATTTTTTCACTCCAGGTCAGTGCTAAGACCTCCCTCTAAGGAGCAATCGGCCTCACGGTTGAAGCTGCCTCAGAGGACCTGACATTGGCATAGCATGAGAGCCAGGGAAGGCAAAGAGGGCTGGAATTCACCTCCAACCCAGCAAGACTTTACTGGAGAAGTATAAATGAGGTCCTGAAAATACCATGGAGAAAAAAGATAAAGCACAAACAGGAAGGCAGGAGCCAAGGCTTGGAGGCGGGGATAGGTAGGATGTGTTCAGGACACTTTATTCAGTGCTTCTCAACTGTGGCTGCAACTTGGAGCCTCCTGAGAGCTTTAGAAAAGACGGATACCCCAGCACCACTCTGAGACCTCTTAAGCCTTCTTTTGGGATGCAGCATAGGCAGTGGGATCTTTCAGATTCCTCTGGTGATGCCAATGCACGGCCAAAGTCAAGGACCACTGGGGTTGATGAGGAAGAACGTTAGGTGAAAGAGTTTAGAATTGCTGAGATCATGAGGTCCCTGGACTCCCTAGAGGTCAATGAGATAATATAAATGTTTTCCTGTGCCATGGAGCAAGTTTGGTTTGCATATTCGATTCATCTTGACTTCCTCATGCTTTTCCCAGCTCCTTTTTCTTTAGAGAGGCAGTGAGGTTTCTATTAAATTAGTTGTGGGTTCCCAAAACATTCAGTGATGACGTAGTCAATCCTGCCTGGCTCCAGTCATAGCCTTTGACTTGGTCATATTTTTAAAGTGCTTTATTTAATGATTATCCTTGTATTCATTCAGAGGATCTACTACAGCAGAAATCAAGCACATTTTACAGATGACTATGGCATAATTGCCACATTTAAATGAGAATCATGACAAAAGCAGAGTATAAATTGGGTGCAATAAACACTGGATACAGGCTAGTTTTCACAGCCTATGGTAAATTATTACTTAGATATTTAAGTGTTTCTGCTTTACCCGAGTAATATGTATGACAAAGCCCTCCTCTCAATCTAAGGTCCTCAATTTAATAGAAAAATGAGAGCTGGAGGCTGGAGATATAGCTCAGCAGTACAAGTGCCAGCCTAGCAAGCACAAGGTCCTGAGTTCGATTCCCAGTACCAAAAAAAAAAGAAAGCTGAAATCTGGGGCTATGCTGGGAGCCTTGCTACAAATTTCACACTTGGATCCTTGCACATTAATCATTGCATTGTTTATGAAACCATCAATCCTAAAATTTACTCCAACAAAGAAATGGGTCATGGCAGGAAAACAAATGTGTTTCTACATTTTACTTCTAGAATTCAAGTTCTTTTTCTCTTTTGCTGTACCAAGGATTACACCCAGAGCCTAGGCCTTCTAGGCAAGCTTTTTACCACTGAGCTACACACCAAGCCTTTTCAAATTTATATTCAGGATCTTGCTAAATTCCCATGCAAGGCTTGAACTTGTAATCCTCTTGCCCTAGACTCCTGAGTAACTGGGTTTACAGACCTTCTAGTTTATTTATTTACTTTGTGTGTGTATGTGTGTATGTGGTCCTGGGGATTGAACTCAGGGCCTTGTACAAACTAGGCAAGTGCTCTACCACTGAGCAACACCCCCAGCCCTCTAGTTTTTTTATAGTTGCTATTTTGCCATTTGCAAAGAAAAAGTAATTTGTTTTTCTTGAAGGGTAAGGCTTGATATATTTCTTTTTGTGACTAGATCAAGTGAGTATTTTTAATGCTTTGTGTGTTCATTAAAGTCAAAAGAATATGTAAGTGTAGAATAAAAACCTAGCATTTTCCAACTTGTAGGTTGAACCCTCTCAATAGCTTGTACGTTCATGGCGTTCTGCCACTTTCCGTGTATGAAGATACATGCAGACTTGACAAACTGACACTTTCCTAGGGCTTCCCTGAGAGTATATGACGCACTTCTATCTGTAGTCTCATGCTCACTTGATGATATTTCCACTCATTTATTTAGTAAGGCTCTTAATTACATAAAACTTTATTTTTTAAAATTATTGCCCATTTGGACCTGGCAACCCTAATAGCAAATGGCATATTCACCACGTTTAATGGTAACACTACAGATGGCTCCTTATTATTTTTAGTAGATTTTAGGGTTTTTGTCTTTTCCCTTTTTCATGCGACTAAGAGCTTCAAGATAACCTTTAAAATTCATCCATAGAAGTCCAGATTTTTTTTTTCTTATCCTTACTTGCAATAGGCTTTCTACAATTAGTGGAAAAGTTTAATGATTTACTTGTCAAGAAGAACCCCTTTCAAAAGTTCCAGGTTTGCCAACCTTGCAATGATGAGGTAATGGCTATTCTGATTCATTAACTTTTCCCTCAGCAGTTTTGCTATGTACATTTCCTCCTGCTAGTTGTCAAAGTCAAAGCAGAAAGAATACTATTCTCAGAGAGAAATACTTTTGAACGACCAATCCATAGGAAAGTTACACTTAATTCAATCATATCAAGTCCAAGCTCTTCCAAAAGGGTAGGCTTCATATAGTTTCAAGAGGCAAAACACAATACAACCTCAGGACCACCTGTGCCCTCAACAGACAGCTGACACAACCACATAATTGATTCTTGGGAGTGCTCATGTCACTTCATTAAGACTTGTTGACTTCGGGGGCTGGGGATTTAGCCCAGTGGCAGAGCGCCTGCCAGGCAAGCACAAGGTCATAAGTTCGATTCCCAGTACCAGAAACAAAACAAAAAACCAAAAGGACTTGTTGACTTCATTCATTTTGTTCTCTACTAATATTTGCCAGAGAAAACAGTGGAAAACAAGAAATTATCACAGAAAAATTTCCACACTATAACACAATTTTGAATGCAAATTATGGGAATCAGTCCATTATTTGATCTAAGCAGTGGGGCACGAGATCCCTGACATGTGGCTCTGTGTCACTATTTGCCAGGCAGGTGCGAAAGGCCTTGTGGTTGTACCTGTGAGCCAGAGAGACCTAGGTCCTGCACCTAGTCTCAGCTGCACTACACAGTGGCCACATAGCCTGATAGGTCACCAGCTTTTCTAAGTTTCAGTTATATCATCTGTAAACAGAGAAAGTAACACTCCCCCTCATAGGGTTAGATGATAAAAGAGCTCTATGATTCAAATTCTCAATATGTCAGCTATGTTAATCTTTAGGACAAGCTGGGCATGGTGGCACATGCCTGTAATCCCAGCACTCAGCAGGCTGAGGCAGGAGGATCATTGTGAATTCGAGACCAGCCTGGGCTACAAAGTGAGCTCAAGGCCAGCCTGAACTGCATAGCAAGACCCTGTCTCAAAAAGACAAAAAAAAAAAAAAAATTAAAAATAAACCATTTAAAAAAATCTTTATGACATCCTGAAGGCTATGTGTTATTGGTATGTATTATAAGATTTATTTTCAGATGAGGGAACTAAACTGAGGCTTACGAAAATAAATGACTTACCTTAGGTCACTAAGCTAATACCTTTGAACCTAGGCCCAGCATTTCCCCCTGGTTTCAAAACAGCATGTGTATCCTCCACATGGGGTTTATTATATTTCTAGTCTTGTTTGAGGACTTACTCTTAGTCTTCAAAATGCATATAGCATCAGGCAGACCTCAGCTCCAAATGTCATGAGGACAGAGAAGAACTGGAGAATAAGAGTGATGAAACCAGATAAAAAGCTCATGGGCTCTTTTATACCAGGATGGATCTCAAGTGTCACTGGAAGAAAAAGTTCTCTCCAAGCATGCTTAGAAGAAGCTTGAACCTACCTCCCATGCATCCAGGAATGTTACTTTACTGGAGAGGATATTGCCTTTATCGTCTCTGGGGATCAGTTCCTTCCCGGCCTGTAAGTGCAGAACCATAAGCTTACTGGAATCTCCATCTGGTCACCCGGTCCTGTTAAACAAGGCTTCAGGATCCTAACTTGTGCTAAACACTCACCTTGCTAACTATTTTGGGAGGCCCTGGAGAACACTCTTCCAGGAAATAAGCTTCGGTAAAATCTCTGTATCATCTACATTGGTATTTAAATCTTTCCATTTTAGAAAACTGCTAGATTGATTTTTAAAGCGCATTATTAGCACACTGTAGAAGCCCTCATCATTGCAATGGATGCTAATGTCATATACCTAGGCTCCATATAAATTTGGGGACAAACTTTAATTTCTAGGCCACTAGGTAAGGGTTAGAGCTCAAAGGTTGTGTTTGGGGGAAGACATTAACTTTTATCCTTGCAGCCTCCACAAGCCTGGATTAGCTGTCACAAGGGGACAGGGCTGGGAATTCACAACCCTCCCACTTCTCAGGAGCAGGTAAGGAGCAGAACCCTGGGCAATGAATTTGCTGCTTTTTCAGGGAGTACTGGCGACCTTCCAGTTTCAGTCACATTTGGGGTTTCACCCAGAGGCTGGTCCCAGGGTGCACTTTGTTTAACAGGTGGGTTGGGCCGTGACAGTATTATGCAAGAAGGTTGAAAGAGTTCCCCGGAAGGGACCACTGGGCACGCAGTCATGGCAAAGGCAATGTGGCAGTTGTAGCTTCTCGGGGCTGCCCCAAATCTGTCTCTCTCAGATGTACCCACAGAAGATGCATAGGCACAGCTGTCCTCCCAGACCAGTGTCTGCTGCTCTGCATAGGAGCTCCTGCTTATCTTACCCCATGTTCCAGCCCTGGCACAGCTGCTATTTTATGCCATCTTTTGGCTCCGCAGCCCAAGATTGAGGCAGGGAGTAACTCAAACCTGAAGTCCCTGTGGAAAGTGAATGAGGTAGACGTCCAGGTAGTCCATTTTCAGGTCCTTCAGGGTCTTCCGGCAGGCCTCCTTCACCAGGCTTCTCTCAAAGAACGTGGACCACAACTGCGGAGTACAACAAGGAAGTGAGAGAAGGAAGAAGAGAGGGCCACACCGAACTCCCGCTGCCTGCTTTGAGAGTTGCAGCCTGATCTAACCTGACAAAAGGCCATTTATAGCAAAGTTCACCCAGGTATGTGATGAGTATGATGGGCCACCAGTGCTCAGCACATCACTGATATTTGTAAGTGTTGCAGGCAATTTACATTTCTAACACCCTTAGTATCCTATCTGTTTCTTTGGTTTTTTAGCATATGAGGCCACTGATTAAACATTTGTGTACCTGAATTATTCCTTTCCTCAGCTGCCAGCTCTCTGAGAGCAGGAATTGTGTGTAGCTTTTTACATTTCAAGCATTCTCACGCCCTTGGGAGCAGATGGCCCTTTTATGTACACTCAGTATCCCAAGGCTCCCAGATCCCAAGTGACAACTTTACAAGGAGTTCATCCAGATGTGGCCATGGCACACCTGTCCCACCAGATGTATGCTTGTATTCAGGCATGGGATAAAGCCAGAGTTAGAGATCCGAGCACACAAGGCAGGCCATTGAGGTCTTGGTGCCCACCCCATCCAGATACTCCCACCTGCCATGAAATCACGGCTTCCCCATGTGGGCCGCATGTACCTTGCTAACAATGAAGAGGTCCTCCCGCCTCACAAGCTTCTCCTGAATCATCTCTTGGATGGCTTCTCCCACCTCATTCTCGTTCTGATAGGTGTAGGCGCAGTCGATGTGGCGATATCCTGCATGGATGGCTGCTTTCACGGCTTCTTTGACTTTGCCTGGGGGAGACTGAAAGGCAAGTGATAAACTGATAAAACCATTAGATGCTCTTACCCCACGGCCCCTCCACTGGGATGGATGCAGCCCATTGTCTCCAAACCGAGGCTCACTGGGTCCCATTTGCCAGTGACACCTGGGAGACAAACACTTTGGAAAACTTTTCAAAAGCAAAGAAAAAGAAAAGAAAGTTATGCTTAAGAGTTCATGCTTATCCAAGATAAAAGTCAATTCCTTCCAGTCCAGGCAAACCTTCCATGTCCCACTTGGTCAGGAGAGGCAGGCCGCTGCCACAGCAATCTGCTGAAGGCCAGGCAGCAAACTAGACTCTGGAGCAAACAAATGTAGCTGTCAGACCGCAGATGGTGATAAGGAGGCGGGAAATGGTCTTCCTAGGATGAATCTGAGCTCTACCACATAGCAGATGTAGAGGCCTGAGCAGGGTGCTCCATCTCTCCAAGCCTTGCTTGAAAAATAGAGTAAGAAGAGCCCAGGTCTCATGAAGTCCTTGTGATGCTCGCTTGCTACAGTGAATATACAGTTTTCCCCTCATCACCTGACATCCAGTAAGGCTCAGTAAGTGCAATCACTATATAATTATTGTTTCTGAACTCAGATGTCCTCAAGGAAAAAAGAAGAAGAAAGCACACTGGAATTACCACATTCTGCTCTAACCTTGCAAAGCCAATGAGAAAAGAACTGATCCGCATCTGTAATCCCAGCTCTCTGGGAGGGTGAGGCAGGAGAATCACAAATTTGAGCACAACCTGGGCACCTTAGCTAGACTCTATCTCAAAATAAAAAATAAAAAAGTGCTGGGGATATACCCATAGCTTAGTGTGAAGGCCCTGAGTTCAATCCCCAGTATGGCCAACCCTCGGCCAAAATCACAACAGACAAAAAATTCACACAAAAAAAAACTTCACAAGAATTTTATCAGTTGTGAAGTGAAAACATTTCAAAGAGCATAAAACAGAGAGCTGGGTGTGGTGGCACACGCCTATAATCCCAGCACTCAGGAGACTGAGGCAGGAGGATCATTGTGAGTTCAAGGCCAGACTAGGTTACTTAAGGAGTTCAAACCAGCCTGAACTACATAGCAAGACCCTGTCCCCCCACCCAAAAGAAAACAAAACAAAGCAAAACAAGAGAGAGAGAGCAGGGTGTGGTGGTGCACGCCTGTAATCCCAGCACCCAAGAGGCTGAGGCAGGGGGATGTTATGAGTTTGAGACCAGCCTGGGCTACAAAGTGAGCTCAAGGCCAGCCTTAACTGCACAACAAGACCCTACCTCAAAAAGACAAAAAACAAAACAGAGAGAGAGAAAGATACAGGTATTCCAACTCTAGCATGAGAAATTTTTGTGGGCAGCCCAGAAGCACCCCAGGATCCCCCTCCTAACCAGAAATATGTGTAAAGCCCGTAAAATTGTTCCATCATGTACCTTAAAAACAGCTCATGTCACAACCTGCGCATCTACATTTGAAATTCTGATAATTAGTTTCTTCAAAATTTATCCATGATGAGCACATTCATGAGAGATCTGGAAGTAGGAATTACTTATTGCTTGTATAAGATTTTAAGGTTCTGATTTGGGGACAATCTTGCTGTTTAAGAAAAGAGGCTGAGACTGCATGCATCAGGCATTGATATGCTCACTCAGAAGAGCCAAGGATAAATCCCAACACTACAGGACTCCAGTGCTGAAACAAGGAGGGATTTTACCCTCCCCCAGGGGAAAACATGAAGGTCAGGGCAGAGCAGGTAAGAGTGGAGGGAGATAGCCCACAGAAGAGGCCCAAGGGTGCAGAGAAGCAAAATACAAAGATGGTTCCTGAAAACTTACCACTGCGGCTCACAGGGTGCTGGGGTGTGTGTCAGATAAACACACAGCTAGGGCTCTCTCTCAACAGAGCACCCCATGACCAGCCCAGCCTCTCTTGGCCTCAGTACTTCTCAGAATTTAATATGCATGGGAACCATATGGCGATGTAAATGTAGATGCTGATTCGGTAGCAAGGGCTGGGTCTGAGATTTTACATTTCTAGCAAGCACCCCATCAAGACCGATGCTGCCGGTCGCATTCCCACAGCTAGGGCTGCAAGCGCAGGGGGCCAGGGCTTTCTTTCAAAGCTCTGCATCTTCTCTCAGTCACTCTGCCAGCTACACTAGATTCTAAAATGGTGCAGAGGAACTCTCAGCCCTCGGGCACTACTAGGTCTTCCAGGATGAATCTGAATTCTACCACATTGCAGATGTTCTGGTCTGGCCAGATTCCTCTGTCTGCTCAGATTAACACCAGGGAGTTTCAGAGGAAATGACTGCTGATCAAGTAACTTCCCCCGAACCAAACTTTTTTTAAAAGCCTAAATCCTGCTTGAAACTTGAAACTTGCTGGAAAAGCTGTCACGATTGCTCAGAAAGGCCAGGAAAGGCTGTGGAACAGCCCTGAGAATGGAAAATTACTTGGATCTCAGTTCTAGAGCTGAATCTCATTTCCCCAAACCCTGGCCTGAGTAGAGGCAGAGAAGAAAACAGGACCAAAATCCCCGTAGGGAAGCAGGGGCCCTTGATTTGCATATTTACCTTCCAAGTACCCAGGCCCACAATGGGCATCTTGGCTTTGGTGCTGAGCTCCAGGAAGGTGGCCATGGTTGGTGCAGAGGCGCTTGTGAGGGAGCAGAAAGATGTCCCGTGTCCTAGTGAAAGTGACTGGCTTCTGGCTGCAGGGGAGGAACCGGAATCAGAAGCAGGCACTAGAGGAGGAAGTTCATCCCAGTCCTTCGTAAGATTGATTACTGTAAACAAAGATTAGAGATTTTCTTCACTACAAAACGCATGCGTTACTTTGTGAGTGACACTTAGGGGTTTGTCAGTCTAAATAACATGCAGATCAAGAATCTCTGAGATGAAGTTTATGTGAGGATGAACATTGCAGTGAGAAGCTGCATGTCATGGTGAACTCTGTGGATATGCAAGGTGGGTGGGACCCAGGACGTTTCCTAGAACAAAATGAGGAGGATTATTTGAACTATTTTGAGACAATCATCCTTGGCTACAAGGACCAGTAATACAGGAAAAGTCAGTCTAAGATTATATAGACAGCTGTTGGGCAGATGTCTTTGCAGAAGTACTTTTTCTGTGAGATTCTCACAGCCTTTGTGCAAGCTTGGTTCTGATGTCTTTTGTGAATGGTTCTTGTTGTAAGGCACACATGCACAGATTCTCACATTCATTTATTTTTATTTTTGTTAGGGTTTGACACAAAAGATTCCATTTTGATTCTGGGCATTGTTCACAGGTTTCACCAATTGTCTTTTACTAGCTAATAAGTAGAAAATAAAAGTGTATATTTTAACTTGTGCCTATGTAATTGCTTAACAGCTGGGTGTGGTGGCGCACGTCTGTAATCCTCGCACTCAGGAGGCTGAGGCAGGAGGATCTTTGTGAATTCAAGACCAGCCTGGGTTACAAAGTAAGCTCAAGGCCAGCCTGAAATGCATAGTGAGACCCTATCTCAAAGAAAAAAAAAAAAAAGACTATGTAATTGCTTTAAATTGTAAAAACTTTCCCCACAGAGAAAGGAAATTATTTGTTAATCCTAGGGAAGGATTTTTTATGCTAATATTCTTCATTTATTTATTTCTTTGGGATGTATGACTTTGGCCAATTGTGTTTTTTGGTTGTTTTTTTTTTTGGTTTTTTGGGTTTTTTTTTTAGTTTTTTGAGACAGGGTCTCACATGCAGTTTAGGTTGACCTTGAATTCACTCTTTAGCCCAGGCTGGCCTCAAACTCACAGCAATCCTCCTGCCTCAGACTCCTGAGTGCTGGGATTATAGGCGTGTGCCACCACACCCAGCTCCAATTGTGTTTATAATGAACGTTTCAAATTCTTGTGGCTGTTTTAAACTAAAACTGTGATTGTAAAATACTGTATATTCAGGCCCAAAAGCATGAAGCCAATCCTCATGGGCTGAAACCTCCAAAACTGTGAGACATGAATAGCTTTTCTTTTCTTTAAGTTGATCATCTCAAGTATTTTTTTATAGTAATGCAAAGCTGATTAACACTGGCTCCTTGTTCCATGAAAAAATTAATTTTTTTTTACTTTATTGGTATAAAAACTGTATTCATTATTATATATTCATTACTATTTTCATATTTTTCTTCAGAATTTAAAACTATAACATTTTCACGAGTCTTTGAGAGTCTTGTGTCCATACATATTGTGCCTACCAGGCTTCACAGAAAAGTGAAACCTGAACAGACCCCATTCTGAGATAGGATTCATTCTCCACTTCTTCCTTCCTCTCACTCTTTTCTTTCTTTCTTTCTTTCTTTCTTTCTTTCTTTCTTTCTTTCTTTCTTTCTCTCTCTCTCTCTCTCTCTCTCTCTCTCTCTCTCTCTCTCTCTTTCTTTCTTTCTTTCTTTCTTTCTTTCATCCTTCTTTCTCCTTCCCCTTTTTTCTTTCTTTTTCTCTTTCTCTTTCCTTCTTTCTTTGACATAGATCTTACTATGTTGTTCAGGTTAGTGTCAAACTCCTAGGCTCAAACCCTCCTGGCTCAGTCTGTCAAATGCTTGGGACAACGGGCATGTGCCACCATGCCTGGCTAGTCTGTTTTCTTACTTTATTAAAAAAATTAATAGACTATTATGGGAGGCAGTTTTAACAGAAAATATGGCACAATTTTACTAGCTGAAGTCCATGATTTCCATTAGGACTCATTCTATGTAGTGTGACAAATGTCACATTACATGTATCCATTGTGATATATGAGCAAACAATTAGCTTTGCTGCTGTAAAATCTCCTGGTTCTCTATTTTTCCACTCCTCCTCCTTTCCCCTTGAGCCACTGGTAACCACTCATTTTTTTACTATCTTCATAGTTGTGTCTTTTCCAGTATGTCTCATAGTTAGAATCATATAGCCTTCCCAGATTGACTTCTTCCCCATCAACGTGCTTTGAAGTTTTTTCTGTGACTTTTTGTGGCTTGGTAGCTTGTATTGTTTTTTCATTCAACTACTATCCCATTCTCTAGATGTACCATAGTTTGCTTTCCATTTACCCAGAGAAGTGGGTTTTGGTTGCTTCTAAGTTTGGGTAGTTATGGACAAAGTATCATAATTTTTCTATTTGTTCTCTAAGAATCAGCATATTCAGGGCTGGGGATTTAGCTCAGCGGCAAAAGCGCCTGCCTGGCAAGCACAAGGTCGTGGGTTTGGTTCCCGGTACCGGAGAAAAACCAAAAAAAAAAAAAAAGAATCAGCATATTCAGCACAGCTGAAAGCCGGCAAAATATTACTTTTGGGTAAAGAGGAACTCCGCAAGAGGAGGAAACAAAAGAAGCTCAGGGTTTTCTTCCTCTATGACTGTTTCCTCTGTGAAATAATTCCAAGAGAACACAGTGTCTCAGTTTTACAGGTTATTAGATATAAAAATCTTTAGGATAAATTTTTGGGTTAAAGTCCAGCTGTTGTGTACAACTTCTTTTTACTGCCTCCTTACCTATTAATAGAGATTAAAATAGCTTGTGCCAGAAACAAAGTTTAAAAACACACAGTACATTTTAAACACTTCCACATAGCTCAATGCTTGTCCCTAAAATGTCACATAAAACATAGGCTGTACGTTATACTTTAGGGGACAGTTTAAAAGATTTTAAAAGGTTAATTTTTATTCTAGACCCTCTCTTGGGTCTCCCTGATCCTACTGGTTCTTGTTCCCAGTGGACTCCCAGGAAGCTATTCATAGATCCCCCTCCCTTAAGAAGATTATTCCCTGGGTTCCTAACATCAGAAACTTCTGCCCTTTTACTCAGCTAAAAATATGCAGACAGAAAATGGAAGCACCTGCCCAACACACTGGAGGGATTTCTGTCTTTGAATCAACACATAATATATATAATATGTGAACATATTGTGTACAACATAATATGTACATATATGTACGCATAATATGTACACAGGGCATAGATCTTGATACAAGAATAATGTTAACCTCCTGAGCCACTTCACTGGCTGAGTGCAGCTCTTATACTACACTCAGGTAGAGTTCTGTGAGGACCCCTATTTTGACCTTGATAAATTTATAGTTTGGTTCTGGATGTCCTCCCAAAGCCTCGTACAGTCATTAGGCAGGCTTCTAGAGTTTATGATTGATTCATCAGTGTGAGTGCTACACTCGCCTTGGGGTGGATACTTTGCATATGTAAGGGAGGGAAAGAGGCTGCTTGCCACTGCTCCTCTCTTTTGCTCCTGTTGCTTTACTGTTCTTTGCTGCCACAAACTGTTGCCCTCTGCCTTGTGCCACTCTATCTGGGAGCCAGCCAAGTATGGACTGAAACCTCCACAAACTATAAGCTAAATAAACCTTTCCTTCCTTAATGCTGAGTGTCATGTGTTTTGTCTCAGCAATGAGAGAAAAGTAACCAAGACAGAATTTGGTACTAGAGGAGTGGGGTCGTTGTTGTGACTGTACCTGACTATGTGGTTCAAAAACCTTTGGAAATGGCTTGTGGGAAGAGTTTGGAAAGGTTTGGAGATGTCGCCTGAAAGAGTAGAGCTGGAACACCTTCATTTGTTCTCTATGGGAGATTCTCATCAGAGCTCAGAAGACCAGAAAGCTGATAGAAATCCTGCCAGTAAAGACCGGGTTCGGGAGGTTTCTGCTGGGAAGAAGGACTCCATTAGGTGCTAGACCCTAGACAATGTATGTTATGGCTTGACAGAAACTTTGTCTGCATTTTGCTTGTGTCCAGAGACTTTGCCTGAGACTGAGATTAAGGGTGGCAGACTAATTAATTTGGCAAAAGAAATCTCAAGGAAGTCGAATGTCAAGGCGGTGGCACGGCTATTGTTGAGGGCCTTTAGCCAGATTTATGTTGAGAATCAAGAGCAAAGAGCCCAGCAGGATGATTTAAAACGTGAGTTTGGCCAGAAAGGAAGCTCCAGTAAAGCTGTGGACTGCAAAGATAAGGCTGAGGAGATCTCCACTGCTGATAAGGAACAAGAGAATGGAAAAGATGGGGCATCACAAGAAGCAGCAAGTCTCCACCCTTTGCAGCCTCAAAACTGCAAAGATGAAAAACTTTGCTTTGAGAAGAAAGCCGCACAGAGCCATGTTCCAGAATGATGGCCATGTCAACACCAGGTTCCAGAATGGCGGCAGGGGCATAGAGAATATGTTCCTCAGAACTGGTTTCAGAGTGCCCAGTGTTCCAGGCACTTGACCCCTACAGCCAAGAGAGAGGAAAGCTTGGCTCCTGCTCCAGGTGGCAGCAGACCTTAGCATCATCCACGTGGCCCTGGGTTTAGGTGCATACAGAATGCAAGAGTTCTGAGGTTAAAAAGGCTTCCACCTCAATTTCAGAGGGCCTGGAAAGCCAGGCAGTGTGTCTCTGAGAGGGCAGTGTGTGAAGCTGTGAGTGTGAAGCGGAAGATGCAGTAGAGACCTCAGAAGTTTGGAAAAGCCAAGAATGGGGATTGTCTGAGGAAAACTGCAAGGGAGGAGCAAAGTGGGCCCAAGAGAGAAGCCATGGGAGCTGTAACCACTGGAAGTGACAGGGGTGAAGTCATGCAAGCCCTTTGGAACTCACAACGTGCCACAGATTGCTTCAGACGCTGGACATGGAACTACAGGACATAATGTTAGCCCTGCTGGATTTTGGACTTGCTTTGGTCCCAATGCTCTGTATCCCTGTATGTACCTTTTGGAATGGTAATGTTTATTTTGTGCCATTGAATGTTAAAAGTGTTTAACTTTTCATTTGTACAGGGGTTCACAGCTAAGAGTTTGT